AAACCATCCAGATATATTTAAGAAAAAATTCAAAGTCTGCGAAAGTTTACATTAATGTTATTATAATCATCTCTTTCGAAAGGGTATTGTAGAGGAGAAAATATATATTATATACTGTAAGCTGTAAGAAAAAACTAACTTTTTGTTTCGATAATTTGCACAAAGTCTGTCACTTTGTCAAAATGTATAAAGTATTGGCCAAAACACAACACTGCTTTTATAGACCGAAATGGGTAAATATAAACTCTAAATGTAGATGGTGAGTATTCCAACATATGAAAGTCAAAGATTTACATAAACAAATTAGCATTTAACAGCCGTTATCATAAGGACCTCCCTTTTTGAAATGAGACACAGTTACGTGTTCTTAAGATTTAGAATAAAACTTACATTTCCATTAGAATAGCTTTAGCCAAAATAGAGAAATTTCTTTAGCCAAAATAGAGAAAAATAGGGGACGTTTTTTTTTTTCTTTTTATATATATACACACACACACTACATATTAGCTATGAAAATCTAGGATATTAGCTATTTTATTATTATATACATATTTGAGTTATTATATTATTAGCTGGTCAGATAAGTTGATTACTTTTAATGACTTGGAGGTCAACGTTAAGTTGGTTGTCGCCTATTTTATGGTAGGAAGCTGGCAAGGCAGCAAACTGGAGGGTACCTAATGAATTGGCCGCTCGTGCCTCATGTATCACCCCCCCCTCTTTTTCAAAGAAGGAAGGTAAAGACATATTCGAATATCTGTCACAAATATCTGGATACATTCCGTTGTTTGTATCTTTTCCTCTAAGCAAGGTTCAAACGTAAATTTATCCAGAGGTCCTTCTTCCTCATGATTTTCATTTGAAAATCCTTCAGAGGGAAAAATAGTTGATACCTTTCGTACAAGATACCGTCAACCACATTAGGACTATGCGTCCGGTATCTATAACAACCGTCCATATTTGTTCCATGATATATTTATGAATATTTTTCTCTTCCTTTAAAAGAATATTAAGTCTACGACTATTGTTAAATTTTATAACCCAGATATTTTTTTTTTTTTTTAAGAGTTTGATTTCGAAAATATGCTGGACTTCATCTTAACAATTATGACACAGGAGAGGATAGGCGACATGCCACGGCTCCTTGGTAAATTAGGGAGCTAAAATATTTTCTCAGATATAAAAGTTGGACCTTGTTCTGTGCTGAAGCCAGATCATTGGCTAAGACTGAATTCGTCTCCCCGAAGAAGAATGTATCATCATCGAAGAGTCGAATGTTCTGTAGTCTCTTTGGATTGCCCTTCCCCCAACAAACTGCACAAATCGCTAGATTTGGTTATTTTCCTCTTCCTAGTTGCTGACCTTGTGTTCGATCTGTTATGAGATAGTGACACTTAAATAACGACTGTCCTGCTTTTTGAACGTACAGCCTTATAAATATAATGTGTGGGGGAGTTTTCCTGTTGAAATATATCGTTTTTTTTTTGAGGGTCTAAAATTTTTAGATTTATCACTTGAAATTCTTTTGTGAAATCTACTTCTACGATAACGAGACCGAGAACGTCATTTATAAAGGAATCCCTTTCACACGGAGAAGGGCATTCACTAAAATTAAAAAATTTTGTATCATTGAGACAACAACACTTCGGTTATTATAATATTATCTCGATAGCGAGCTCTGGAATATCTTAAAAAAGGAATCCCTCTCACACGGAGTAGAGGATTATCTAAAAGTACTAACCTTTGTCTCGCTATGAAAAGAACACTGGGAGAAGAACAGTCCGTGTTTATACAATATTCCTCATCCCTTTGTTTTCTCCTTTCCTCTAATCCCCACATTTCGGGATGTACTTCTATTTATTTCCATCCAATATTCGTCTAAAAATAAATATTCTAAAAGACTTACATGTAATACGTGTAATTAATTTTTCGATAAGGCTATCGATAACGTATAAAAGAAATCCCTCCCACACGGAGATGGGCATTCTCTAAAAGTACGAAATTTTGTCTCACTGGGAGATACAAATATTTGGCACCTAAATATATAAATAATATTCCCTTGAGAGTGAGATCTAAAATCTCATAAAAAAAGAAATCCATTCCAGAGATAGGCATTTTCTAAAAGTACAAAATTTTGTTTCATACCTTATTTCATTGCTGGGAGATAAAACACTTCGGCATTTATAGTACTCTGTTGATTGCGAGATCTAGAATCTCATATAATAGGAATCCCTCTCACGAAGAGAAGGGCATTCTCTGTAAGTACGAAACTTTGTCTCACGGAGAGGACAACAGTTCGATATATATATGTTATTCTCATTTTTTCTTTTTGTCTAATTCCATTGTTTCCTCCTTGCCTCTAATTTCCATATTTCGAAATTTGCTTTTACTTTAATTATTTCCATTCATTATTTAATTTCCTAAAAATAAGTATTATAAGATACTCACCGGTAATACGTGTAATTAATATCTCGATAGGGGATATCAACAATGACTTATAAAAGGAATCCCTCACACGGAGACGGCCATTCTCGAAAAATGAGAAATTTGACTCCCTGGGTGATACAACACTTCGGCACAACTTCGGTATTTATAATATTCTCTTGATAGAGAGATTTAGAACCTCATACAATAGGAATCCCCCTCACGAGGAGAAGGGCATTCTCTATAAATAGGAAACTTTGCGTCACTGGGAAAACAACAGTTCGATATTTATAATATTATTTGATAGCCAGATTTCTAACCTCATATAATAGGAATCCCTTTCACGAGGAGAAGGGCATTCTCTAAATAGGAAACTTTGTCTCACTGGGAGCACAACAGTTCGATATATACGATATTCTTATTGCTTTCTCCATTTGTCTACTTCCATTGTCTCCTCCTTGCCTCTAATTTCTACATTTAGAGATTTGCTTCCACTTCAATTATTTCCCTCCATTATTTAATTACCTGAAAATAAATATTATAAGATACTTACCTGTGATACCTGTAATTTATCTCTCGATAGTGGGATATCAATATTGACTTATAAAAGGAATCTCTCTCATATGGCCATCCTCTAAAAGTACGAAATTTGACTCACTCGGAGATGCAACACTTTGGCATTTATAATATTCTCTTGACTGCGAGATATAGAACCTTATATAAATGAGAATTCCTCTTACAAGGAGAAGGACATTCTTTACACGTACGAACTTTGTCTCACTGAGAGTACAACAGTCCGATATATATAATATTCTTATTGTTTTCTTCTTTTATCTAATTCTAATATTCCGCTATTTACGTCCACTTCGTTTTTCTCTAAAAATAAATATTATACAATACTTACATATTGTTCCTTGTGTTCTACCTAGCTGTAAAACACCGTATATTACATAGTAATATCCAAAATGAGTAGAGAATAAACAAAATGGCTTCATCGATCTACGACGAAGAAATCGGAGAGCTACGATCCGCACTGCACCGTGCACGAAAGACGAATGAATACCCACCGCCGCGCCAGGGCCGGCGCGGCCACCTAGACTGGTAGCGGGATGGAATTTAGCTTATAGCTTTAAAATTGTGCACGCAGGGACGGTACTACTACGTATAGAAAAATCAAGATAATACATTCGGACTGGACGCGAATATAATTATAATATAGGGTTCTTTCTCTCTCTCTGCCATCGTTGATGCTGGTGAGCGATAATGTGTGGTGGCAGCGGTGTAGGTAAAGGGCACACGGAACTAATAAATAATAATTATGATAAATCGAAAAAATATTAAGACATTAACACCCTGTAGCTACGAAACAAACCAGAATCGGACCTATGTTGATATGAAAAATAAATCTTATTTTTGCGTGAGGAATCTCCCCATGAGAGATAACACTTATTTTTTGGAACACCCTGTATATTGAATAAAATATAATAAAATTATATAAGAGTTTCTTGCCTTGAACTTGGTATAGCAATACCAGGTGCGTCTCAAAAGTGGCTCACACCTATAATTTTCTAATTTTTTTAGATAAAAAATCGAGATTTATTCAATTGTTTTCTGTCTCTTCCTGTTTTACCAGAAGACCATGACCATGACTAGAAGCTTTGATTTTTAAATGACACTCTCAGTATTTTTTTTACTTTATTCGATAGAAAATGACAGTCTGAATAGAATGACATAGCATATGCCAACTTTTGACATTTTCGCATATGGTTTATTTGAAATTGTAATATGCGGTTCAGAACGATAATTTGACTCAAATTATCAAGCGTGTGGTACCAAATTATTCGTAAAAAAATTATTTTTCCAAATATGCTAATGAGTCACCCTCGTTCCATTTGAGAAAAAATGATATATGATTAAAATACGATTTGGGAATCTTTTAACCGGCCAAAATAAGACACTAAAACATCGACGATCAAATCTATTTTTCCAAGGCTCCTTGATTAAAAGTTAGTGTTTTTAATACAGCCATGACACACTAGGGTGAAATTTAATATACAATTCTTTTTTAAGCAAGAATGTCAAATGTTGACATATGATATGTCATTCTATTCAGAGTGATATTTTCTATCGAATAAAGTAAAAGCCGAGGGTTCCATTTAAAAATCGAAAGTTGTAGTCTCTTCGGGCGAAACCGTAAGTGACCGAAAACAATTCAATCCGCGAATCAATCCTAATTTATGTCATATACTAACATACCAAATCTCGTTTTTTTATCTGAAAAAATAAAAAAGATATAGGTGGTGAACCACTTTTGAGACGCACCCAGTGTAGAAATTAATTCCACACTGTGTTTGTCATACTCCCCAACCCCTGCAACCCAATCCAACACAGGGTGGAATTAATATTATCTTTATTATGCCTCTACATTGGTGTGCTTCTAATGTATCGTTCTTCATTCTTTTTGTTTAACTGGTAATTAAAAAACAGTAACATAAATAGCATTAACAAACATATATTATACGGTTTTATTTGTAGATTTTTTAGAATATATGTCTATATCATAAATTTTTTTATAGGAACCTCAGGCAGAAAGAGAATTATCAATTCAAGATGGTTTAAAAAAATACTTCGAAGAAGGAAGAGAAAATTATATTATAAATATCAATCACACACAAATCGTGAATTTAAATAACGACTTAAATATAGCACCTCCAAAACTTAATACTCCACTTCAACTATGTTGTAGTTTAAATTATACTATTTCTGCAGCTTATTTGTTAGATCATGGTGCAGATTCAGAAGGAATTGCCGAAAAAAGACGTAAAAATAAAAATACTCCAGTAAGTAAATATTGTTATAATATTACAAAATTAATGCCAGACAATATAAAAATATATAACTGTGGTACTTAAATTGAGTTGTACCTCTGATGCCCCTGAGTTCACTCGTTCGCTGCATTGATGGGAACCGATGTTGTCCAGCTAGCAGGTCGGGTAAAGAGGTAGGGTAGGTAGTAAACTTCTGAAACTCAAATCTTTCCTAAACCACAAATGAGAAGCAGTAAGTTTTTAGACACAAATTATAAGTACTAGTCTGGATCGTAAATCTCAAAATTTTAAAAATTTTAAAACATCGACTTGGAATACCTACGAAAAGTTGCCTTTAGTAACGTTGATAAAAAAGTGTTGATAAAAACTACAACTTTTTAATAAAATCAAATCTTCTGCCCTCTACCAGCTCTTAAAAAATGATCGATTTGGAATACCTATCAAAAGTTAACTTTAGTAAATTTTTTTTTTTAATTTTTTGATTAAATCACGTCTTCTGCCCTCTACCGGCTGTTAAAAATAAAAAATAAAGAATTTCAAACCGAAAATACTTGCCTGTTTGATATCAGCGCATGCAAATGCAATTTTTTTCAGCAATGTTCTTGCAAAAATGAACAGGTTTTTTTGATAGATCAGAGGGGGCTTAGAAAAATGGTTATTGGGAAAATTGACATAATGGAAACCTCAAAAAAACCTCGCTGATAAAGAAGGCCAGTAGAACGGAAAAAGATATGCAACGGAAAGAACTACAACAATCCATCCAACATGAAAACAACATCAATTTATCAAGAAAGCGAAAGTCGACAGATATAGAAATTGATCATGAATTGCCTTCCACTTCCTATGACAGTATCAAGAGAAAAATCCAGTGTACAAAAATTTTTGTGAAACTGCCTACCCTGACTAAAGTTTGTGACAGCTACGGACTATCAGATAGATCTGCAGTAGCAGTGGCAACGGCAGTGCTACACGATGTCACCAAAGACTATAAAAAAAACGTTATAGATCGTTGTAAGCTGAGAAGAGCAAGAGAGCAAACAAGAAACAGTTTTAAGCAAAACTCCTCGGAAACTTTGAAGGCCATTTATTTTGACGGAAGGAAAGATAAAACCTATGTTATTAAAAATATTGAAGGTAAGTCCCACAAAAGAACTGTACTTGAAGAACACATTTTTTAGTTCAGGAGCCGGGTTCTATATTTTTGGGTCACACAGTTCCCAGTTCTGGATCGGCTCTAAGCATTTGTCAAAGTATTGTGAACTTCTTAGAAAGTAATGAATATGACCTAGAAGAACTAGTAGCAGTAGGATGTGACGGAACTGTGGTGAATACAGGAAAAAAATGGTGCAATTTCTCAATTAGAATTAAAATTAGGACGCCCTTTACAAAGGTTGGTCTGCCAGCTTCACGCTAATGAGTTACCTCTTAGGCATCTTTTTCAAAAGCTTGATGGTCAAACCAGGTCCAAGATCTTTTGCAGGAACTATAGGGAATCAAATACAACAGTGCGAAAATATGCCAGTTGTGAACTATATTATTATTGACTGTGATTTACCAGACGAGGATTCTCTTGAGTGAAAAAATATTTGTATGAAATTTGTGTTGCGGTTTCTACAGGTGAGTGCTCCGTTTACAGGTGAGTGCTCCGTGCTCATTTATTGTTGACACCGCATTAATATTTGACATTTCAAAAATCTCTATCCATTTTGAATAGGCATCTACTACTACCAAATAAAATCTACGATCTAATTCACAGAAATCTATATGCAGTCTTTCCCAGGGACCTGACGGGACAGGCCACGGGGAAATTTCGGCACGCGCTGGTGCGTTTGAGTGAAATATACAATTTTGGCAATTTTGAACTATATTTTCAATCTCTTTATCTAAATTTGGAAACCATATATAACCACGCGCAAAATTTTTCATTCGAACAACTCCCATATGACTGCTATGTAATTCTTTTAAAACTTCGTTACGTAAAACTGTTGGAATAACTAATCTATGGTTCCAATATAAACAATCATCACGAATATAAAAATCAAACCTTTTAACATAGTAGGGCTGAAGTTCAAGATCTTTATTTTTTACGGGCCAACCTTTCTTAATAAAATTTTTAATTTTAATAAAGATATTATCACTAATTGAAGCCCCCCAGTACATTGTCAAAATTTATTTTAAAATCTGAACAACTTGAAAAAAAGTAACAGTAATCTACGTCTAATTTATCTGCGTTTAGAAAATCGTTCTCACTTTTAGAAGGCATTCTGGACAACCAATCCGCCTTATTATTTTTACTATTAATAAATTCTATTTCATAATTAAAATTAGATAGAATTAAAGCCCATCGTCTTAATCTATTTGCTGCAAACTGAGGTATAGCCTTATTATGTCCGAAAATAGATACTAGAGGCTTATGATCTGTAATCAATTTAAATTTATTGCCATAAAGATATTGATAAAATTTCAAAACACCATAAATTATAGACAAGGCTTCCTTCTCTATTTGCGAATATTTTTGTTCAGCCGCTGAGAGAGTACGCGAAGCAAAAGCTATAGGTTTGTCTTCTCCAGTGGGAAACTTATGACTTAAAATTGCCCCGATTCCCACTGAAGAAGCATCTGTAGTTAGTCGAAGTTCTAAATCAGGATTATAATGAACTAATACATTATCAGACTTTAAAGTTTTTTTAATATTTTCAAATGCTTGATCGCAAAGATCATTCCAAGTCCACTTGTCATTTAATTTTAGCAAATTATAAAGCGGATTTAACATTGTAGACATATTCTTAACAAATCGACCGTAGTAATTTATGCTACCTAAAAATGATTGCAACTCTTTTACATTTTGCGGCCTGGGAGCATCGTCAATTACTTTTGTTTTTTTATTGGAAGGATGTAATCCATTTTTATCAATAATAAACCCTAAATACTCAATACTCTCTTTAAAAGAATTACATTTCTTATAATTTACCTTTAAACCTACCCTTTGTAAAATGCTTAACACGGTTTGTAGATTTTTAAAATGTTCTGATTTATTTTTGCCCGTTATTAAAATATCATCCTGAAATACTGCCACCCCCTTAATTGAAACAAATAGGGAATCCATTATTTTTTGAAATCTTGCTGGTGCACAAGCCACACCGAAAGTTAAGCGATTATACCTAAATAATCCCAAATGTGTTGATATTGTTAAAAGGTGTATGTTATCATCGTCGACTTCTATTTGCTGAAAAGCTTGCGATAAATCTAACTTGCTATACTCTCCCCCTCCGTGAAGTCTGCTGAAAAGTTGTTCGATAGTGGGCATTGGGTGTTGATCTACTTCAATAACAGGATTGAGAGTAACTTTGAAATCTCCACATATTCTAATATCGCCATTCTTCTTGAATACCGGGACTATGGGAGTAGCCCAGCGACTGTACTCTACTGGCGAAATAACACCTAAAAATTTAAGTCTATTAATTTCAGCTTCAACCTTGTCTTTAATAGCAAAAGGAATTGTTCTGGCATTAAAAAATTTTGGCACTACATTATTTTTTATATATATTTTTTCAACACCTTTGTTAAATAAACCTAAACCCTCTGAAAAAACTTCACTATATTGGCTAACTAAATTTTCAATAGAGTTTATATAATTATTTATTGCAATATCCAATTTTACTTCAAATAAATTTAAAAAATCTCTGCCAAGTATAGGTGGGCCTCCATCTTTTATCACAAAAAATTGTATAATCTTTTTGATGCCTTTGTATTCTATTTTTAGATTTAAATATCCTTCAGGTTGAAATTTATTTCGATTGTAAACAATAAAACATTTATTTGACGGCAATATTCTTTGTTCTTTAAAATTATTTAAATAAAAATCTAAAGAAAAACAAGATATTCCACTACCAGTATCTATCTGAAATTTAATTGGAACATTTTCGACCAAAATATCAATAAAAAATGAATCTATTTTAAAATGGTCGAGTTCCCTGTTTTGGCAAACAATAATTTAAATCTTTATCTGATATGTTTGTGTTTTTTGTAGCACACTTCTCCAAAGCAAATAATTTTTTAATATATATAGTAAACAAAGGAATTTCGTCTAAACTATTTTCATCATCACTGTTTACATTGTTTTCTTTAATAAAATCATGATTTACTTTATTTTTCTGAAAATTTTTTTCTACGGTCACACATAACTGCTAAATGCCCTGCCTTTTTACAATTTAAACATATTGAATTTTTGTGAAAACACTTATCTTTAGTATGGTTTTTCCTTCCGCAAATGTCGCAGATCATGTTATTGTTTGCTTCCCTTCTTGACAGTTGACTACGTTCTTGACTGCTATGATATTTTGAGCCGGAAGTTCCTCCATATATTGTTCCACCATAAACAATATGTTACAATCATAGTTTAATTACTTGTATGAGAGAGATATTTTCTATGGAACACAAAAAACACAAACATATCAATAAATTCTTAGTTTGTGCCCATACATATAAATGAAAGCAAAACCAATAAAAAATGGACAGAGCTCTGAAATTTTATAATTAATCATTCCATATATACTATCCATTCCAGAACACCATATAAATACATCGCAAAATTTATATTCTATTTAACTTCAATTAGTCAATGTTCGAGCTACAAATATTTTGAAATAATGAAAACTCTAGTTTCGATTTGGTGAAAACGATTTTTATTTTCTAACGGGTTAAATGGTAGAGATTTTAACAAACTTGTCATATACTTAGATAGAAGAGACGTTTATAAAATAATTGTTACTTTAAGAAAATTATATTTCTTGGTTATTACTTTTACAATTAAAGAGAGAATATAATTAAAAATTTTGACATACCTGTAAGTACTAATTTGTTCTTCAGTTCTGTCCATCTAAGATATTTTCAGCATTCATCCTGATTTCGAGAGTCTCTAATAATTCTTTGCACATGGAACTGTGAGTTTTAGTTTTAAAATATATTCCTTTACTTTATAATGTAGAATGAACACTACGTAATATGCAAGTGCAAAAGTCTTTGTCAAAATAACACAGAATTAATTTCTTAATACGTTTCTGCAGAGAATCTCATACAACTATATTTTTACCAATTACATTCCTTTAAGATATCTAACGTACAGGTTTAAGCAAAAGAAAACACTAATTCACCAAGACACTTTTACTTTTGCACTGGAAGCGCGTTTCAATAAACATCAGCAGATGATTAAAACTTAATTAAAATCTACAAATTGAAAAATGGCCAAGCGATAATCTAAACCACCCGAACGTAATAATTAATTACCGAAACTAGAACAATAGGACCAGAGAACTTGAAGGAATTGGACCATTGCCTTGTGTTCATACTATCTTTACATTTATTAATTTTGACGCTCTCATATGCATCTAAATGCCTGTAATTTGAGACTTGTTTATTTATTTATTTTTTATAATTATTAATAAAACTAAATATAATTATTAAAAAAAATTAAAATTATTGGGCAAACCTACAGTAAGATTAACCATGAAACATGGCTAAAATACGACTACCTGTAGACACTTAGTGTTTCTGCCTTCCGGCTTCATCAATACGGGAGGAATCAGCAACGATGAGCTAGCGATCCTGAAAAAAGAAAAAGGGAAGCAAACGAGGCACTAGGCACCATTTGCAACCTGGTTAACCAGTAGCTCACAATTCGCAAGCGTTACTACCACAAAACCGCTGCGGAGGTACTTCAACATACCTCGCCGCTATCACCTTGGCCCAGAGAAAACAATAAACAAAAGATGATATCGTTGGGACTATAATAAAAAAGAAGAATGAAATTATTGGGCAAACTCTTCCCTCGCAGTTGAAGTTTCCCGCCTTGAACTGCTAATATAGAAATTAATTCCACACTGTGTTCATCATAATGTGGATCAACCTGCTCTCACTACCGGTTTCGGGGCCCTACCCCATCATCAGGTGAGCTTGGTAGTGAGAGCAGGTTGATCCACATTATGACGAACACATTGTGGAATTAATTTCTATATTAGAAGTTCAAGGCAAGAAACTCTTGTATAAGAGTTTCTTGCCTTGAACTTCTAGAACAACCCTGTATAGGGTTGTTCACGATACACGACACGGAGTATTGTAGCTAAATGGTTAGATTTTTACAAATTGTAAATTTTAGGTTCGTTGAAGGGCTATTAGAGCTACAATTTAAACATATTTACAAGATACAGAGTGAATTAAAAAATGTTATAGTTGTATTTTTTTAATAGAACACCCTGTATATTATTCTATTTTTAGATTCTACGATTGAAATAAAGATAAATTTGATTAAGGTTTATCACACTTAAACCTTACCGTTTTTGAAATATTTTCAATTTTATGAAATTGCATTAAAAATTTTAAGGCTTCATTTCTTCAACGGTATCGAAGTTTTTGATACTAAATATTTACTGAAGTTTATTTATTGATCAGATATTGTGTTGCAATAATTAGCAAAATTCTATCTTATCCAGAGTGTCTAAAAATTTATTTTAAATAATTACTAGCATTAAACGGTAATAATTTGTTTATTATAAATGGAACACCTTGTATATTTTACGAGAATCAGATGCATAATTTAATTGTCTATCAAATTGTATTAT